TTATTATTGAGACAAAATGATCCCTAAATCCCAGCCACTCATATAATTTATTTATGTTAGTGGACATTTTTATGTTTTTCAGTAAGTCTGTTCATTATGAACTATTAAACTTTGAAAGCTTTTTAAACAAGTGCCTGAGGGTCCACTTTATTTGGGACTCCTAAGACACATCCAGATGTATAATGTCAATGTAGATGCCTTACACTTTCAGAAAGTGCAATATTCTGTATCCAAAACTGTTTTGGGGTTGTTTGGAATGCTTATGAGCACTCAGTGCAACTAAGTAACGTTCAGATGGTTCTCATCTTAGGCTAAAAATAAGATTGTGAATCCATTTCCCAGTCTTTAGAGAAGCCCCTGTGATGATTTACCAAAGATACAAACCACTTCCCTTGTCAGAACATCATGCGTTGAAGAGGGAGCTGCCAGTAAATAAGCAGAAGAGAGTGTGTGTTGAGGACGGGGGGGGGGGGGGGGGGGGCAGCCACTGCATGTGTGGAGTGGCATTCGGTGGCAGGAGACAGACTGGTGAGAAAGGGCAGAGAATCAGCTTATACCAGGTGGAAGTGTAGCCTAATAATGGGTGTGAAGAATTTTGACATGTATGAAGAAAAGCACTACTTAGAGTCTAGGTTTTATTGATACAGTTGGGGAAAGTGGTGGGTTTTTTCCCCTAAACCACTTATTTTAAATTGTTGCATGATAATCTTGGTAAGTCATCTCATATTCCATGCATATATAATTTTAGCTAAAAAGTAAAAATTATTCTGTATTATTTAGTGTTCTTTTATTTTATATATTTTACTACTCATAGGCAAAACCTACTTTCCAGCTCTATCAAAGCATTTTCATATTAAAGTGGAATCAGTACATTGTATTTATCAAAATAAGGTGGTTACAACCTTATATTTCCCAGCTATTATTCTTCAAGTGGCATTTTTTTTTTCTTTTATCCTCACCTGAGGACATTTTTCCATTTTTTGTTCAGTTAGAGTGGGAGGGAGGGAGAGGAAGAGAGAGAGAGAGAACCGTGAAAGGGACACACCAAGTGGCTGCCACCCACAAGACCAACCAGGGCCGGGGACAAACTGCAACCAAGGTACATGCCCTTAGCGGGAACCAAACCCGGGTCTTTCTGTACCACAGGCCGACACTCTAACTGCTGAGCCAAACCGGCCAGGGCTCAAGTGGCATTTTAGAAAACAACTGTTATGACATGTTCATATTTATTTACTTTTTTTTTTTTATCCTCACCCAAGGACATCTTTAGATATTTGTTCAGATAGAGTAGGAGGGGGAGAGAGAGAGAGAAACATTGATGTGAAAGGGACACATCAAGTGGCTGCCACCCACACGACCCAACCAGGGCCGAGGACAAACTGCAATCGAGGTACATGCCCTTAGCGGGAACCAAACCCAGGTCTCTCCAGACCACAGGCCAACGCTCTAACCACTGAGCCAAACCGGCCAGGGCATACACTTTCATATTTAGAGCTACAAAAATATTCTGACAGCCCTGGCCGGTTTGGCTCAGCGGTTAGAGCGTTGGCCTGCAGTCCTGAGAGACCCAGGTTCGGTTCCCGCTAAGGGCGCGTACCTCGGTTGCAGTTTGTCCCCGGCCCTGGTCGGTTGTGCAGGTGGCAGCCACTCGATGTGTCCCTTTCACGTCGATGTTTCTCTCTCTCTCTCTGTTCCTCTCTCTCCCTCCCACTCTACCTGAACAAAAAATGGAAAAATGTCCTCGGGTGAGGATAAAAAAAAAATATTCTGACAAATGCTACAAGCTGAGCATTCCACTATTTGATAAAAACCAAGAACTGATATAAAACACAGGACAAAATAAATAATGTGACATTTATATAGTACCCCTACATGCATAGCATATCATTGTATTGTAGTCTTTCTTAAAATAGTAACAGACATGTAAAATATTTGGTATGTATTTATCACTCAGTGAATGTTTATTGATTACTTACTGTGTCAAGCCACTGTGCTAGGCACTGGGGACACAGTTGTGAATAAATGTGCTCCCTTCTCTTACTGTTCTTAAGCGCTCGGTGGGGAAGACAGACAAAAACAAAAAGGAAAAATGACAAATTGTGGTATGTGTTATTAAGGAATAAATAGACCATTGTAAATATAGACTCACCCAAAAGATAAAATCATTCAGATTATAAAACCTGTTTCAATTTCTTGCCTGGGTATTTAATACTGCTATCTTGTTCTGTAATAACTTTGAAAAGAGCTTATAGACTTGACCAAATTGTGTGTATGCATTTATTTATGCAACAGAAGCATTTACTGATTGCCGATGTGTCAGGTGCTATTCTAGGCCCAAGAGAAGGAGCAGTGAACAAAACAAAGTCATTGTGTCTGTGGTGACTTCACCCTAGTAGGGAGACAGTACACAAATATGTGATAAATGTCAGGAAGTGGTCAATGATGTGAAGAAAAATAAAGGAGACTGAGGATAGTGACCAGAATACTATTTTACTTGGGTGGACTAAGGAGAGAAGTGTTTTCCCACAATTTTCCTTCTTTTGTCTCTTGGATCAATTCAGTTAATGAATGCAGGAAACAAAATAGCTTTTCTCTCTGTTCGTATCTTTCACATAGTCACTAAGAGAACTATGGAGAGGTCTTCCTTCTTTCCAGTTCCTTACCACTAAAAGAGGTTAATACCTACATTCTTTTTTTTTTTTTTTTCCTTATTGATTTTTAGAAGGAGAGGAAGTGAGAGGGAGCGAGAGCTAGAAACATCGATAAGAGAGAACATTGATTGGCCATCTCCTGCATGCTCTCCACTGGGATCAGGCCCACAACCTGGATATATGCCCTGACCGAGAATCAAACCAGTGACCTATTGGTGCATGAGTCGATGCTCAGCCACTGAGCCACACCAGCTGGACTTTAAATATGTTTTTATTGATTTTTTTCTTTTTTCTTTTGTTTAGAGAGAGAGAGAGAGAGACATCAGTGTGAGAAACATGGATCAGCTGCCTCCTGCTCGCCCCCTACTGGGGATCAAGCCTGAGACCTGGGCATGTGCCCTGACTGGGAATGGAACTGGGACCTCTCAATCCATGGGATGACGCTCAACCCACTGACCCACACCAGCCAGGCAATACCTGCATTCTTGTCTTCATTCTTTTCTCATTCTTCCATACATGTAAATCCCTGAGCACCTTCATCCAGCCACCCATCCATACCTTTACCTTTCATCCAAAAAACATGCTTTGGTATCTATTTCAAGTTTCCAAAATCTTGGGATATGATTTATTTGATTAAAAATTACATTGTACAATTAAATGTCTTCCAGATGTTTGATTATAACGTATAGATCTTCTATCTAAGTCTTTCTCCTAGTAAACTCTTAGCCATTGAAATGTGCTTAGTGATCCCAGCCTTCATGCCCCAAAGCCCTAAATAAAATTGTACACTGCTCAAGTGTTCTATAGCATTGCACAAGTCTAAAATAGGTAACTGGCACCCACCCCACACCTCACTCTTGGCTAACTGACTGGTCCATAAATAGCTCAGTGTTACAAGATCGGACAACGACATCTAGCAGAGATGGGATGTTTGTTTCCTGACACACACATGTAGTCTCTGGTATTCAACACAATCAAGGTCTAATTCATTAGACCCTAGCTCTAACATAGCCCCTGGGAGAATTGTGCAAATCAATAGCCAAACTGTTTGGGATGGGATTCAAGATAGCCCTACCTTATACCAAATTCTACAAATTTGGTATAAGTTATTTGGTATAAGATCAGTGTTTGAGCAAGATTTAGTTTTGGTCCCTTCTGTGTACATGAGAGTAAAGTTGCCGCTGCAATCAGGTTAAACCCAGAGAGTTTCTGCCAAATGAATTAACAATCCTCAGGTGGGTCTGAGACGGCATCTCGGTAGTTTTATAAAACCGTTTTTCTGAAATCAAGAGCATGTTTCAAAAACCTACCCATTATTGGAATAGAATGGTTCTTGTTTCTGACTCTTAGCTGGAATGTATTGTTTTTATGTCGGAAAGATTTTTAAAGGCTATAATTTAACAGAACATTGCTTCATAAATTCCTTAGCAATAACTCAGAAGGTGAACCTTGGGGTGTTTTTCCAGATAAATCTGTGCCCTTTGTGTGCAAAGCATTGTTGCTTAGGTAACTAGTGATAATACTTAGGGTTCAGTCCTTGCTATTCTCACTTTTCTTTTTTTTTACTGGGTCTTTTTCAAAATGGCAGTATGTTTATTGTATTTCTTAAAAGTCAAAATACCAAATCTAAAACAAGTGATTTTTAAAAAATCCCCATGCTAATTATATATCATTGCTGTTCATATGCTGCTTACTGTTGCTTCAAGTTTGGAACAAAAGTAAAGAAAGTATCTATGGCATCAAAACTATAGGCAGTTCTTTCCCTAATGCTAGGTTTGTACTTTTGCTTATATAGGACTTCAGTTCATTTTATAGTCAGAGCTTTATGGACCCGGTTATATAGCTTTCCATGGCCACACTGAACATCTGTCTACATTTTGAAAACATTTTAAAGCTAAAACTCAGTTCAGGAACCCCGATCTTCAGGCTGTCCAAAAGGGCTTAAGAAGCATTTATCTTTAGCTTTTATAACTGTATGAATATTTGCCCTGGCTGGTTTTGCTCAGTGGTTAGAGCGTCGGCCTGCGGTCCAGAGAGACCTGGGTTCGGTTCCTGCTAAGGGCATGTGCCTCGGTTGTAGTTTGTCCCCGGCCCCAGTCATGCAGGTGGCAGCCACTCGATGTGTCCCTTTCACGTCGATGTTTCTCTCTCTCTCTCTCTCTCTCTCTCTCTCTCTCTCACTCTCCCCCCCTCTCTCCCTCCCACTCTATCTGAACAAAAAATGGAAAAATGTCCTCAGGTGAGAACTAAAAAAATAAATAATAACTGTATGAATATTTACTCTAGTGGCTTTAAAAGAGGGGGAAAAAAACAAAAACAAAACACCTGAACTACCAATTGTTTGTTTAGCAGACTGTCAACATGGCTGTGTGGATCCAGGCCCAGCAGCTGCAAGGAGATGCCCTCCATCAGATGCAGGCTCTGTACGGCCAGCATTTCCCCATCGAGGTGCGCCATTACCTCTCCCAGTGGATTGAAAGCCAGCCTTGGTAAGTGAACAAACCTTTTTCCATCCTGCTTCGTGAAGCAAAGCACAAGCACAGTCAAGTTTGGAAAGATAACATGACAGAGACTCTAAAACTTGTACGTTTAAAAAAAAATTGTGGCTCATGAAATGTTATTTAACACCATCTGAGATTTTAGGAAGGTGGAATAACTCTTGGGATTTTAAAAATAGGATATCTTCTCCTTAATAGTAAATTCTGGCTAAAACCATTCAAGCATTGCAGCTAGTAAAAAACAATTAACAAATTTTTGAGTGCCTATAGGGTGCCTAGCAGAGTCATATGTGGTAGAGTTCATATGAAAAAATTAAAACCATGGTATGCATAGAATTTAGTGCTGAATGGGGCAGATGACATATGTCTATTCACATAATTTAGTAAAATGTTTTTTTTGTTGTTTTTTTTAATCATCACCCGAGGACATTTTTCCATTTTTTGTTCAGATAGAGTGGGAGGGAGAGAGAGGGAGAGAGAGAGAAACATCGACGTGAAAGGGACACATCCAGTGGCTGCCACCCGCATGACCAGGGCCGGGGACAAACTGCAACCAAGGTACACGCCCTTAGCGGAACCGAACCCCGCTCTCTCTGGACCACAGGCTGATGCTTTAACCGTTGAGCCAAACCGTCCAGGGCAGTAAAATGTATTGTTAACAAATTTAACAATGGAGACATTGGTGTTTTTAAATGTATATGTAATTTATATATGTATACGCATAAAAACAAAGACAATACAACAAAATATTAACAATAATTGTATCTTGGTGGAGGACTTAACAAGCGTGGTTTTTTAAAATTATTTTTCATATTATTCTTCATATATTCAGGGGGAAACTTGTTTTTAAATTCTTTTAGAGTTAGTACAATGCAGTAAACTAATAATATAGCTTTTTTTTTTAAATCCTTACCCAAGGATCTTTTTTTTTTCTTCCATTTATCTTCAGGTAGAGTGGGGGGGAGGAAAAGAGAGAGAGAGAGAGAGAAAGGAACATCAATGTAAGAGAGACAAATAAATTGGTTGCCTCCCATATGACCCCAACCAGGGCCGGGGACCGAATTGAAACCGAGGTACATGCCCTTGACCAGAATTGAACCCTCGACTACCTGGGTCCATGGGCTGACGCTCTAACCACTGAGCAAATGGCCAGAGCTAACAAAGCTTTTGAACTGACATTATTATATGCTAGACAGCAGGATGTGCACCGCTCTGTTCTGGGCCTGGAACATGTTGGTTGGTTACCAGTGTGTCAGTCTGATCTGACATATTCATCCTACACTTCAGGCCTCCACCATTGTGGGTGGGGTGTCCTCTGACAGAGCCCGGAAGAGAGCAGCCTTTACACTATCATTTGAGGAGGGCTGGATGCCTGGCAATAACATTGCCTTGGAATAATTGCAATTGTGTATTAGTAGCAAGTTTCTCTCCAGAAACCAGAGAGCACCAGGAAGGCAATTTTCTAGGCAATTAAAAAAATCTCAGCCTCAGGTAATTAAGTGAGAAAAAGAAGAGCGAAATGCGAGCACATCAACTGCATCTTGTCTAGTGCTTTTCCATTTCCTCTTCTGTTTGAATGATTTTGGAGAGCTCAGAAAAACATTAATAGGAAGTTTCTGTTTATTTAAATTTTCATTTAATGGAGTTTCTATGTCATCTTCTTACAGAACGAATATTAAAAGACTTGTGTTGATTTTAAAGGAAACCTGAATTTTATTTCATTTAAAAAAAATTTTTTTAGCCCTGGCTGGTTTGGCTCACTGGTTAGAGCGTCGGCCTGCGGTCCAGAGAGACCCGGGTTCGGTTCCCGTTAAGGGCACGTACCTCAGTTGCAGTTTGTCCCCGGCCCTGGTTGGTCGTGCGGGTGGCAGCCACTCGATGTGTCCTTTCACGTAGATGTTTCTCTCTCTCTCTCTTTCCCTCTCCCTCCCTCCCACTCTATCTGAACAACAACAACAAAAAAATGGAAAAATGTCCTCGGGTGAGGATAAAAAAAAAAATTTTTTTTAATTACACTGACATACAATATTATATTAGTTTCAGGTGTACAACATAGTTATTAGACAATTATTTAACTTATGAAGCGATCACCTTGATAACTTTAGAATTTTCCTTATTTTTGGTTTTCTTAAGAATATAAATATTTTAATTTTAAAATCTTTAGTTTTTATGTTTATGCTAAGAAAATCTTTTGTGGGGAGCAGGGGGGCAGAGAATTAAGAACAAGAACCAGAACTTGCCTTCCCTGAGTTTTGCTCTGAGACTGGGCCTTCTCAAGAATGGCTTCTTCAGATAAGCATTCCTGCCAGCCGAGGCAAGGGTGCACGCTGGGCCACTGCTCAGCCCTTCCTTCCAGGCTTTTATTTAATATATACTTTATTTAGTCCATAGAGCTTTCTCTGCTGCCTTCTCCAGGTGCAGATTTGAGCATGTTATTTGACGAAGTCCGTTATCAGTGTTTGGTATACCTGTTTGTGCCTCTATTTGAAATTAGTTGCTAACTGACTTCATGGGGTTAGAGATGACAGCGCTTTTTAGTGACCACCAAATCTCTTATTTGGCTTCAGACCTGGGCAGCAGTAACTGAATGTTATTTCAGTCTAATGGGTGTTTGGTTTCTTCAGTGAGCTGAGTAATTTAGTACTGCCAAATAGCAATTGTTGCCTAAGTTGTTTTAAAAGAGAGTTGGGGAGGGGGGTTAAGAATGAGGGAAGGAGAGAGGGAGGAGGGGAGAGAGACCATCAACCATTAAATGTCTCTGAGTTAATACAAAGTCCATAGAATGGTTTCTCTGGTTCACTGGAAGAGTTAGTGTTGCCTACAGGTCCCAAATCTGCAACTTGTGTAAATACTTGTAGGAATATTCTGTCTCAATAAATCTTTTCCAAGGCTTCTTAGAAATAGCAATAAGTGTTGTTTTACCTGTCTTAAGAAAATACTCTACGTGAAATTAGCAACATATAGAACTAGTCAAGGGTAGAAAAAAAAGTAGAACATTCTTGACATTGTGACCCTTACACCCTTGAAGGGGTAACTATAAATAGGAAATTATCAGAGTCCTTATTTCCTTCAGTGTACACCAAGCACTTTCCCTTTCCCTTCATTCCTAGCAGATAGCTTAAGCACCAGAGCAAGTCTGTAGGAGGAAGGAGAAAGGGCAGTGCTTTGTAAAAAAGAAAATATACTACTATGTGGTCCACTGAGGTCGTTAGAGGGTTAGGAATAGATTTATGGGGGCAGCTAGTCGATTTGAGTTGAACTCTTCTAAAATTTGCAGTGAATATTATGCAGAAATCACTTTAGCCAAAGAAAAGGTGTGGTGTGTTGAGGCTGCATTTGTATAGGCTTATGTGCATGTATGTATACATATGTATGTAATTTTTTTCCCCTAGGGACTCAATAGATCTTGATAATCCACAGGAGAACATTAAGGCCACCCAGCTCCTGGAGGGCCTGGTGCAGGAGCTGCAGAAGAAGGCGGAGCACCAAGTGGGGGAAGATGGGTTCTTACTGAAGATCAAGCTGGGGCACTATGCCACGCAGCTCCAGGTGGGTGTGAGCTCTGGTCACAGTTGTCTTCCCTAAGAGGAGCGCTTTCTTTATTTAGTACTTCCTCTAGAGATGTCTTTCTCTTATTCAACCCAATGTTGTTGAGTTACATGTTTATTTTCATGGTGGTGGCTTTTTTTAAACTTTGTATTTGAAAATAATTTCAAATTTACAAAAAGTTACGTCATTGATACAAAGACCCCCTATCTGTGCCCAGATTCACTCACTTTTAACATTTGCTTTATCATATGCTCTCTACATACACATATTTTTTTGTCACTTGAGAGTAAGCAGCACATGTCCCTTCGCCCTAAGTACTTCATTGTCCACTTCCTGAGAATATGAACCTTCTCTTCCAGCTATCATCCAGTTATCACCTTCAGTACATTTTACATTGATAGAACACTTCTAGGTAACTTCATGTCTATATTTCCAGTTTTCCAAATCACTTACTGCCCTTTGGGGCATTTCCCCTGCAGTCCAGGACCACTTATTGTGCCTAGTTGCCATGTCTCTGATTTCCTTTCATCTGGAACTGTTTCTCAACCTTTCTTTGTCTTCTGTTACATTGACATTCTAAAATAACTTAGCTGCTCTACTTTTTAAAGATAAAATGTATCTCATTTTGGGTTTGTGTGGAGTTTCCTAATGATGAGATTCAGGTTACGCAACCCTGATCAGAATGTTCAGTGTTGTTGTCCTTCTCACGGTGTCACATCTGGAGACGCACAGCGTCCATCTCCCCTCGTTGGTGGAGTGATCTTGATTGCCCATCAAGGGGGTGTCCAGTTTCTCCTCAATGTGGCCCTTTTGAAATTTATTTATCCTGTGTCCAAGAATGATGCCCTAGTAGTTTAGGCAAATTAGTATGCAAAAAATGAAATGATCTTACCTTCTTACTGTAGTTGGGTTTTTTTTACAATGTGCTTTTCTTGTACCCCATGGATACTGGAGGAGCAACACATTCATGCTTACATTATCATGTCTCTAGGGGTCTCCTCCAAGGTGGGGTTAGGCCCATAGTATGGAGGGGAACAAAGTGACGTCTGCTCTTGGATTCTTCCAGAACACGTATGACCGCTGCCCCATGGAGCTAGTCCGCTGCATCCGGCACATTCTGTACAATGAACAGAGGCTGGTCCGAGAAGCCAACAATGTGAGTGCCCCATGGGTATGGGGAGAGGAGTTGGGAAATCCCTTCTTGCCCACTCAGTTTTGTCATAGTGATTCGGAGTGCATCTGTTGGTGTCTCTATAAACAGAGCTTTGTCCCAAGGGGCACAAAAGAAGTAGAAGACTGTTCTCTGATCTTAACGGATTTACAACCTTGATGAGATTGCAACCACAAAACAATGTGAACAAGTGTGAAATAGTCCAACCCCAAGTGAATAATTTTTTATTAAAGTTGTGTTTATGTTTAGGTGAGAAGGAATGGATCAGACCAGGTCACTTAAATGTCTGGATCCACAAAGCCCTTGTTGATTCCTCTCTGTAACTCCCCTTTGGCGTCTCGAAGGTGCCACCTGTGAGAGGTTCACCTTATTCCCTCTTCCCTCAGTCACAAGAAGGCTTTGAATGAGAACAAAGACAACATGTGTTCACCTAGCCTGTTCCCCACTCTGTCCCCAGCACCTAACACAGCCCATGGCATTGGATCAGTGAAAGAATGTGGAATGAGGGGTCATCACCATTAGTAGGAAAACCCAGGTAACTCCTGGGATGTGTCGAGTCCTAGTATCTCTGAAGGGAATTAGATGGACTGTGTTTGGGATGCTCTGGTGGAGGCCAGAACTGCAGCGGAAATTCCTACTATATTTTACAAAGATGCCATGGTCTGCCTGTTTTTCCTCTTTTCTACAGCAGTTCTCACAAATGACATTTGCAATTCCCATGACTCAAAATTAGGCTTTTGGGGTTCCAGCCCAGTTATAGCTAACATTGGCTCTTCCTTGCCATTAAGGCCTGAGGTTTTCTTCCATCCTCACTGCCCAGCTCACTGCTGCCTGACTCTCCTCCTGATCTGTGTCCAGGGTACCTCTCCAGCTGGAAGTCTTGCTGACATCATGTCCCAGAAACACCTTCAGATCAACCAGACATTTGAGGAGCTGCGACTGGTCACACAGGACACTGAGAATGAACTGAAGAAGCTGCAGCAGACTCAAGAGTATTTCATCATCCAGTATCAAGAGAGCCTGAGGATCCAGGGTGAGGCTGGCAGTGAGGGCTCGAAAGAAGCTCAGGTCGAATCAGGAGAGAACCAGTTACCTTCCCTGGAGTAGCAGGGAATCATTTGTATTGAAGACAGTACTGGGAAGATGAGGCTTAGGAAGGGGGAAGACAGACTTGCCTTTAGAGAGCATGGATTTCGTTCAGGGATCCCATCCTCAGGGAGGCCCTGGTCTGCTGGGGAAGACATTTCCTCTTGTAGGAAGGAGCTCCCAGTTTGGTATGCAGGACACAGACAGCAGTTTTGTATTTTACTCTCTAAGTAGGGCCAGCGTAAGGGCTGAGGGCTGTGTTTCTGCTAACAAACTTTTAATGTTCTGTACGGTATTTCAGAGAGGCTATCTAGGGGCAGAGCACTTGAATGCCCATCAGTTGCCCTTAGACAAAGACTCCCCTTCCTGGTGGAAATCCTACCCAATACTTTGGGTACAGAGAACTTCAGTCAGTCCTGAGGCTATGAAGACTCAACAGCACCCTCTATTGTCCATGTGGGAGTCTGGCAATGTGACTTAATAGTTTCCTCTCCCTGCCTACATGCCCAGCTCAGTCCCAGAGAAGCCTTACTCCACCAAGCCATTCAAATACTCATGCTGTGTGCTCTTCCAATGCCGGGTATGTGGGCTCCATCCTATAACTATATTGATATTATTTATTAACTCTGTCTTTCCACTAGAATATAAATTCTTTGAGAAGGGACTGTGCTTTATATCTCAGTACCGCGAGGCCAGCACATTGCCTGAATCACCGTAGGTGTTGAGTAAATGTTGGTGGGATGATTCTACATGTCTTTCTCCGGTCTGATTCCACACCAGACTGACCCCAGAGAAAAGACTGCCCACTTCCCAGATGAGGGAACAGGAGAGCCAAGCTATTAGTTCTACCCAAGGCCTTGGACTGGTTTTCATGTTGATGACCCTATTCTGGGGTTTTCTGTTTCCTATGTACGGGTTTGAGTTTGGATTCTGGTTTGGGTTTGTACCCATCGTGCAATGTCAGTTTCGTCTCATTTATCAGGTTCACCCATCAGAAGCACAGACTATTGATCTGTTTGTGAAGGGAAGGCTCGGCTCCCTCCAGTGGAGCAGACAGTTGCCCCACTTCTGGCATCCTTCCCAGAAACTTCTGCGAACTTCCAGAAGCCTAAGTGGGTCACTTGTGTAGAGAGGCAGGACCCAGGGCGGCAGGATTCCTGGGGTGGCCATCCCGACTACTCTGCTGTGTTCCCTGCTGGACAGTGCTCTTCCTGCTCAGCGCTCTTCCCTGCAGTGAGACTGGAGCCATAGTTCTGAATTCCCTTCTCGTTCTGGCTCTTCCTGGCTGTCTGGAGCTGCTCTGGTCTGTCCCAGCTTGTGCGACCATGGGGTGGGGCCTAGGTCAGTGTGACATGGCCCTCAGAGGCCTGCCAGGAACTTGACCAAGACATGCTGATGCTCACACTTGACTCAGCCTGAGCAAGGACACTGGGATGTTCAAAAAGGCGATTGGCACCGCATAATTACCCCGGTGTTTGGGAGAGTGGTTCCCTTGGAGGGAGTATGGGATTGCAAGCTGGGGAGGGTGGACAGGTGGCTTTGGCTGCAATGTTTGATTTCTTAAGCCGGTTATAAATTCACAGGTGTTTTATTTTCTGTTTTGTTTTATATAATTCCTTCTACCTTCTCTAAGTCTTAAATATTTCATAACAGATATTTTAAAAAGTGGTAATGAGGCCTTACTGACTCCCTATTTCTGCCATTGATGAGTTTCCTAAAGCTAATATGAAGAGAGCTGTCTCCTTTTCCTGAGAGAATCTTAAACTTTATTTATTCATGCATTCATTTATTCATTCATTCATTCATTTATTTATTTATAATTCTCACCTGAGGATATGCTTAGAGACCAGAAGGGAGGAGGGAGAGAGGGAGGGAGGGAGTGAGAGAGAGAAGCATCAATGCGAGAGAGAAACATTGATCGGTCACCTTCCAGAGGTGTCCCAACCTGGGATTGAACCCACAACCCAGCTATGTGCTCTGAACAGAATTCAAATCGGCACCATCAGCAGCCTTTGGGTGCACGGGACGATGCTCCATCACCAGAGCCGCTCCAACCTGGGCGAGAATCTTTCTGCTTTTGTGTGGCCTGGGTGTGAGTGTGTGTGTGTGTGTCTCTCTCTCTTCCATCTCTTCTCTTCCTGTTGGTCAGCTGAGCTCACAGCGACCCAACCCGGACAAACTTGTTAGGCACCTTCCAGCAGGCAGAGACTCCTCCTTCCCTGAGGAGAGGCTGCTGGGCTCTGGGAGGCAGCACAGCGCCGAGGCTGCGTGTGAGGCCGGGGCTGAGAGCTGCTTGCCTCTGTCACCCTTCAGTCCTGTCCTGTACCCGTGAAGCAACAAGGACTGACTCTCACTGAGAGCGTCCACGTGCCAGGCAGCCTCTGAGCATTTTCCATATCATCCCTTTTGAATCCCACAGCAACCCTCAGAGGCAGGAAACAGAATTCTCCCATTTTGCACATGGGGAGACTGAGGCACAGGCGAGGGAAGTGATTTGCCCATGTCCACTCAGCTAGCAAATGGCCAGGGCCAACTTCAAACTAGGCAGTGAGGCTCCAAGCTGGACCCCATGTTCCTAGGGTGGCAGGATCCTCCCCAGCTGTGCCCACAGCTTTGTCCCCCCAGTCTCTAGAGAGGGCTTCGAGTTGGGGGGCCAGGAGTGAAGCTGGCTCATCTCTGGTGCCCTTGGGTGCCAGAGCCCTGACTTGCCATTGGTCAGTCATGTGACCTGGAGAGTCTTGTCTGCAGAACAGGTGGGTGTGGTTTCTGTGGGTTTCCTACTGGAAGCTGGAGCTCATGGTCATGGGTGTCCTGTCCCCTCCTCTAGCTCAGTTTGCCCAGCTGGCCCAGCTGAACCCCCAGGAGCGTCTGAGCCGGGAGACAGCCCTGCAGCAGAAGCAGGTGTCCCTGGAGACCTGGCTGCAGCGAGAGGCCCAGACGCTGCAGCAGTACCGTGTGGTGAGTGGGGTCTGTGTCCCTCTCCTCGGGGGGTGGGGGGTGGGGGGTGGGATCCACATCCAAGAGAGAAAGAGAGCCAGGACGAGAGCAGGACCCAGGGGAGCAGGAGGCCTGTGAGCACAGCAGGTCGGGGAGGGGGCCCTGCCCCCTGAGAGAGGCCCTGCAGGGCTGTGCTCTGGGAGCCCAGAAGGGCCTGCTGTCCCCCTCCCTCAGGAGCTGGCCGAGAAGCACCAGAAGACCCTGCAGCTGCTGCGGAAGCAGCAGACCATCATTCTGGATGATGAGCTGATCCAGTGGAAGAGGCGGCAGCAGCTGGCTGGGAATGGAGGGCCCCCCGAGGGCAGCCTGGACGTGCTGCAGTCCTGGTAATGGGGAGGGGGAGGCAGGCAGGGGCAGGCACGGAGGTGGGCAGGGGCTCAGGGTGGTGCTACCCGCTGCTTATTCTGCTCCTGTGTTTCCATGTGCCGCCGGCTCGCTCTGTCCTGTGACAGGCCCATTTCACCAGTGGTCTGGTTCCTGACACGGACTTTGGTGCCACCAATCATGTCCCCTCCCTGGGGAGGGAATCCCTGTGTTGGGGCCGAGGGCCGGTGTGCAGAGTGATGCTGGGGCTGGTTGGGTCCAAACCCGGGTCATGCCTCTGTGTGTGCCTGTCCCTGGAAGGCAGGGTGCTCTGCTCTGCTCTGCTCAATGGACAGGAGCGGTGGCTAAAAGCCTTCCTGGGTGAGGTTGGAGCTGGCTCTTGGGGGGCTCAGCCAGACTGGGGGCCTTGACACTTCTGGCCTGGCGATGGGGTGAAGCCGCTGTCCTTCCCTTTGGCTCGGGGCTCGTGTGCAGGTGTGAGAAGTTGGCGGAGATCATCTGGCAGAACCGGCAGCAGATCCGCAGAGCTGAGCACCTCTGCCAGCAGCTGCCCATCCCCGGCCCCGTGGAGGAGATGCTGGCTGAGGTCAATGCCACCATCACGGACATCATCTCAGCCCTGGTGACCAGGTGATTGCTGCCTCTCGGCCGCGCCCAGTCCCGCATGTAGTGGCATGGCGGTGGCAAAGGGGTGCTTTGCAGATGGGGGGCTCTCGCTTGAATCCTTGTCTCTCTCTGCCTCACACCCCATCCTCTCTGTCCCCAGTCGCTATGGCCGCTTGGCGTTGACCTTTCCTCGTTTCTCAGTGAATGCTACATGGGCTGCCCTTCGTCCTGCAGCCGTGCCAGCTGCCCAGTTCATTTCACTGCCTCCCTCCCGCCATCCCCACAACTCTCAGTGGCCTCCCTGGAGCGGGCTCTCTGCCACGTGCTCTTCCTTTGCCTGCTGAGCCCTGTGCGAGGCATCCTCCCCACATGGAGGACAGGAGCCCTGTCCCCTGAGGCAGCGTCTCGTCACTGTGTCCCTGCAGCACGTTCATCATTGAGAAGCAGCCCCCTCAGGTCCTGAAGACTCAGACCAAGTTTGCAGCCACCGTGCGCCTGCTGGTGGGTGGGAAGCTGAACGTGCACATGAACCCGCCCCAGGTGAAGGCCACCATCATCAGTGAGCAGCAGGCCAAGTCGCTGCTCAAGAACGAGAACACCCGCAAGTACGTGTGTCCTTCCTTGTGTCTGCCCCTTTCCTCGAGTCCTTGCAATGGGAAGAAGTGATCCTCCGAGGAAGCTTTCTGGGCTCGGCTGTTCCTGTGTAGGAGTCTGTTAGCCCTCCTGGCCTCTTCTGGCTCTCAGAGGAAGAATATGAGGAGGTTTTCTGTGACGATAGTAGGATATGGTTTCTCTCGGTAGGAATACATTTAGGAAAACTTTTGTATATTTCATGTGTATTTATTTCTTGTATATTTTATGGAGTATTTCCTCTAAATGATGTAAGTTTTTGTTTATTGATTTTAATCCTCACCCGAGGTTATTTTTTCCATTTATCTTTAGATAGAGTGGAGGGGAGGGAGGAAAGGAGGGAGAAAGAGAGAGAGAGAGACATTGATGTGAGAGAGACACCTCAACAGATTGCCTCCCCCACGACCCCAGCCAGCACCGGGGACAAATCGCAACTGAGGTACATGCCCTTGGCCAGAGTCAAACCCACAACTCGTTGGTTCACAGGCCAATGCTCTAACCACTGACCCAAACTGGCCAGGGCATGATGTAAGCTTTTAAATGCGTTGTGTAGTTCCTCTTCCCTCAAGCTATATTTCTACCCCATGTGAGCTGAGATGCTACATGATTTCAGAGTTGTGTCTCTCTCTGATTTGCAGTGATTACAGTGGCGAGATCTTGAACAACTGCTGTGTGATGGAATATCACCAGGCCACAGGCACGCTCAGTGCCCACTTCAGAAACATGGTGAGGATGGAGGGGGAGGAAGAACAAATTTTCTCTAGTTGCCTGAGGACTTTGTCACTTTAATTTTCTTCTTTGCAGTCCCTGAAACGAATTAAGAGGTCTGACCGTCGTGGAGCAGAGTCGGTGACTGAAGAAAAGTTTACAATTCTGTTTGAATCACAGTTCAGCGTTGGTGGGAATGAGCTGGTTTTCCAAGTCAAGGTAAAGCCCTCCCTCAGCAATGTGTGTGTGTGCGCACACACCGCGTACATGTGTGAGTACTTTATATCAAAGAAGAATTGTTTTGGTCGCATAGTATCCTCTCTTTGGTTATTGATGAAGAGAAAGTTAAGAGACCTCACCCTTAGCACTGTGTCTCTTAGCCCTTAAGAAGGAACAAAAAATAATGAACTGAAATAGTTGGAGATATAGGCAGAAAACGAATCAGGAGAAACGTCACTCAGGATGAATCTGAATTACAGTTGTAGTACGTTGTAGACATTTGTTACATGTTCCCCACCCCCGAAATGTGTCCATACCCTTTTCTCTCTTGTTCTCCATGTAACTTAGAGAATTTACTTCGTCCTTCAGAAATACCTAATAAAATCTCTTTTAATATATCTAAAATGTCTAAGATTGTGCCAGTGTGGGGAAGTCATATTATTCCCGGAGCCGTTCACTCTCTGTGTTCCAGGGTGACATTTACTGTAACATGAAGAAAGAACGAACATGTTGTGATTGAAAAAAAAGAAGAGCAGGGGAAGAATGTGGGGCTTGTGGGCGCTCAGCCTTTCTCCTGTGTCTTTGTAGACTCTGTCCCTCCCGGTGGTGGTGATTGTCCACGGCAGCCAGGACAACAATGCGACAGCCACTGTTCTCTGGGACAATGCTTTTGCAGAATCTGTGAGTGGATTCCTTCGGCCTGCGGGTCTCAAGATCTTGTTGCTGGTGTCATGAATCTCTTTCATGTGTTATCCCCCAAAAGAGCATAAACAAAAATGCTGTTTTCCTTGGTGGCAGACAGAATAGAGTGTATGTAGAAAATGGAAAGAGGATGAGCTTGAAGTTAGGCCACAGTTTCAGTTCAAATTCCACCACACCCTCACCCTGTGACTATGGTAAATTCACTTTCCCTCTCCTAGCTTAAGTCCCCTCAGTGTCTGCAACATGGGGATAATAATGCTCCATAGTATTGTTAGGAAGGTAAATTAGATCCCGTACAAAATGCTGGCCATATACTCTGTACTCAGTAAATACTGTTTTGAATCCTTGGGTGAAACCATAAGTGGAAATTGGGACTCGAGGTTCCGTCCAGAGGTTAGACCTCTCAGGAGGTTACTTTAGCTTAGCAGTTACTTACTGTCATCTTCCTTCCAGTAAATGAGGGTGACCTTTAATTTTTCAAATTTTAGAATCTGTGATTCATCCCAGGTCTCTCATAAAGAATGAGATGCTTTGTCTAAGGGTAAAAATATGCTTTTCTGGATTTATGCACCCAAATGCTATCTGAATACCACTAGTGTGCGGCTTGATGAGCATTCTCAAAATACTTCAGTAGGAATAGTTCTGCGTGTTGCAAGTCTCCAGTAGAGATTAGTCCATAGAAGCATGACTACAGGGTTAGGGTTGTTATTTGAGTCATAGAAGTGCGTTCTTCTCTAATGTGGATGGTCATACATTCTCAATAGTTTTCTTTAGACAACAATATTTTTGCTGCAGAGGTTGAGATTTTTATCAGAAATTCTACTCTTCTGTGCTACAAACCCTGAGTTTGAGGCTCCTTTTAAAAACTATCTGCCTGTGCCCTGGTGGTTTGGCTCAGGGGTTGGAGCATCGGCTCGTGGACTGAAGGGTCTCAGGTTCAAGTCCCGATCAAGGAGACATACCTGGGTTGCTGGTTTGATTCCCCAGCCCTGGTCTGAGTTGTGCAGGATGCAACCAATCAATGTGACTCTCTTGCATCAATGTTTCTCTCTCCCTCTCTTTCTCCCACCCTTCTTTTCACTCTATCTAAAATCAATGGAAAAATATCCTCAGGTGAGGGTTTACAAAAAATAAAATAAATATACCAGTGGGAATTCAGATACATTTGTATCTGTGTCATGATATAAGCACATTGCAACATTGCTTAGCTAAAGATTGAAGGCTGACACATAGATGTCCATCTATGGGGGTCTGGTTAAATATATCATAGTTCTTCCAGATTGTGGAATATTTAGCAGCCACAAAATAAAATGAAGAATTTCTTTATATGCTGATGTCAGGTCTCCCAGATATAATATTAAGTAAAAAAAAAAAGGGGGGGAGGGGGAGATGCAGAACATGTGGATTGTTTGCTTCCATTTATATTTTTTAAAGGGGGAAAATTATATTTGCTGGCCTGAATAAAATATCTTTGGAGATGTAAACAAGAAACTACATTATATGCCTTTAGGGAGAGGAACTGGGTTGCTAGGGGACAGGAATAGGGAAGTGACTTCACTGTATAACCTTCTGTACTTTTAAAATTATACATCATGTTAAGGAATTGCCTATTCAAAAATATTTTTATAATAATTAAAATGAAGTGCCATGGCTGAATAGAATGAAAAACAGTTTATTAAAAATTCATATTCTTACCTGTTTTTAGTAAAGCTGTGTAACTCACGGTTGCTGTTCTTCCTTAAGTTGTTTCACTTCGAGCCAGAGTTTCTTGGCAGAAGGTGTCAAAGGCAAGGATTACACTCGCGCGCGCGCGCGCACACACACACACACTCTCTGTACCTAGAGGGCCAGTGTTTTAGATTTCTGTTCCCATTGAGTTTACAGTGTAAGAGCCAGACCGTGGTCAAGTTTTATTTTTGTGGCTATGAGAACATAGCATTGGACCATGCATTCAGCAGCTCATTTGCAGAACACTGTGGATAGCATGAGATTACCCTCCACATTGTGTGCAAAGAAGGTAAGATGACCCTTCTGAGTTTCCCAGAACTGCACACTCCATGAAAGTTGGAATCTATCCTCAGGCTCCATAAGACAAACGTTTGTAACCCCATCCAGCCATCAATGTCTTTCTTTTGTGGGTTGAGGAAATAAATCATGCAAATGTTTTCTCATAAGGTTCTGGCTTCTCTCCCACTCAGGGCAGGGTGCCATTTGCCGTGCCTGACAAAGTGCTGTGGCCGCAGCTGTGTGAAGCGCTCAACATGAAATTCAAGGCCGAAGTGCAGAGCAACAGGGGCCTGACCAAGGAGAACCTCGTGTTCCTGGCACAGAAACTGTTCAACAGCAGCAGCAGCCACCTCGAGGACTACAACAGCATGTCCGTGTCCTGGTCCCAGTTCAACAGGGTGAGGGCCGCCGGCTGCCACAGCTCAGTCCCTCCAAACCAGCTGCCTTTAGGAGTTTCCCTTCCCCGGCTCTTGGGCTTCCTGTCTCTAATAAAATGTTCCCGAAGTAATAGGAAGCTTCTGAATAGTTAGACAACCACATACTTTTTATGTAGAAAATTACATCTTTGGAGATTTATGTAAATGGGCTTTGTGTGCAGTCAGTGTACTTTATAAATGAAACAGAGCCATGCAAATGTTAATGTAACCCATGAGAGGTAAAGCTTTGGTAATGATCAGAACGTCATGGCTCTGTCCCATTAACTCTGATGTGTGATGCAAAGGCAGGCTCCCGTGGGACCCTCACCCCACCAAAGGGGATACTGATGAAGGAAACTTTTCCTCCAGTATCTGCTAATTCTGATGTCGACTGTCACATCTTTGATTTTAAATTTAACTTTGTTTTTCTTCTTGCACCACGACCACCCCTGATGTTTTGAATGCCCTAATTCAGCAATCTCATAGTCTGTGAGTCTAAACCTTTTCAATGGTTGTGTGTTAACTGGTTGGTCAACGTGTTTGCTGACAGAGGAGTTTTGATAAGGGAAGCAGGAATTGCACTAGAATCAGATAACTGCATTTTGCTGATAATTATTGGCAATTGCCGTGTGATGGAACAATCTCACATAGTGTCATCTAATCCAATTCAAATTTTTAAACACCCTGGGCAGCTTGCTAAAATGCAGGCTCTGACTCTGTAAGTCTGAGATTTTGCATTTCTCAGGCTCTTGGGGGCTGCTGCTGCTGGTCACAGATTCCACATCCAAAAGAGCAAAGGACTAGTCAGCCCAGGAGGAAGGTGTTTGTAGCAGGGGTCCATGGTCGTTGGTAATTGCTCTGTGCTATTTTCCCCTGCTGCCTTCTTTTCCCTTCTATTCTGGTTTTTGTTTTGTTTTTTTAGTTAAAGGACCATTTAATTGGGAAAACTCAGGCAGGACTTTATATTTGTATGATTCTGACGGTGTGGGTGTTTGTTTTCCATTCGGTTTTTCCAGTTAAAGTATATACACGTAATATTCCGAATGTTAGTTTTGCCTTCTTGTGTTCATTGTTGTATTTCCAATCAGGAGAATTTACCAGGACGGAATTACACTTTCTGGCAGTGGTTTGATGGTGTGATGGAAGTGTTAAAAAAACATCTCAAGCCTCATTGGAATGATGGGTGAGAATCATTTCTTAAGTCAGCAATAGAGTAAGAAGGTTGTCTTTCTGCTGTTAAAGAAAATCACGTTCTGTTTCTGGTCCTTTGACCTTTGTGATCCAGGGCTATTTTGGGTTTCGTGAATAAGCAACAGGCCCATGATCTACTCATTAACAAGCCTGACGGGACCTTCCTGCTGAGATTCAGTGACTCTGAAATTGGCGGTATCACCATTGCTTGGAAGTTCGATTCTCGTGAGTGCCCCTCCCTTTTTAAGAGCAGAGCCAAGATGGCTCCAGTGAACTACTTTTCTTGCAAAATTATTTTAACATACAATTCATTGAGTACTTATTTCTTGTTGGGGCCAGTACGAATTATGGGGAGCACAAATATATCATCATGACAAAACCGCAGGCAATACTGGAGCCAGTGTAAAATCTTATGACGGGAAACACAAGTACTGATTTTGTGAACCACAAATGTTTAACCATGAAGTAGCTACTTGTGGTAGTGTCCTGTCCAAAATCTCTGCTGCTTCCCTTTTTTTTTTTTTTTTTTTTTGTTAATCCTCACCCGAGGATATTTTTCCATTGATTTTTAGACAGAGTGGAAAGGAGGAAGGGAGGGAAGGAGAGAAGAATGAAGAGAGGGAGGGAGGGAAGGAGGGAGGGAGAGAGAGAAAGACAGACATCAACTGGCCCAGGAATCGAGCCTGCGACCCAGGTACGGGCCCTTGGCCGGGAATTGAACCCATGACCCTTCGGTCCACAGATTGATGCTCTAACTGCTAAGCCAAACTGGTTTTAAGGCTCTTCTGCTTCCCTTTTGAAATGTTCACCTTCTCATTAAGCTTTGAGCTTATTTTAGTGAAGAATTACTTTGATAAATTAGAGTTATTAGCATAGAAATACTATACTATTTTAATTATTTCCTTATCCTAACTAACACAAGGATATTGTCATTGATCATTTTCATCTAAGAATGTTAGTTCTTTCCTCTGACCCTCACAATAAAATAAGAGTAGCTTTTGAGTTTGTTTTTTGTGACTTAAAGACTTGAACAGTATGTACTAGTGCTCACGTGTCCTCTAGCTATGGACTTGATTTCTCTCTCTCTTACATACTTTTGTACAGGGAATCAGGGTGTCAATAAGAAGTTTATTCTAGAAAGGGGTAGAGTAGCATTTGAACTTGAAACTACCTGAGGGAGATCATTGGATCGCTGGGGAAGTGGTGAGTATATTACCAGCTATCTACCCTTGGCTTCTCAAAACAGCTACTTGAGCCCTGATGATTTGGCTCCGCGGTTAGAGCATCAGACCATGAACCAAAGGGTCACAGGTTTGATTCCAGTCAAGGGCCCGTACCTGGGTTGCAGATTCTATCCCCAGCCCTGGTTGGAGTCATTCAGGAGGCAACCAATCAATGTGTCTCTCTATATCGATGTTCCTCCCTCTCTCTCCCTCCCTCCCACTCTCTGTAAAAATCAATGGAAAAATATCCTCAGGTAAGGATTAAATAAATAAATAAACAAACAGCTACTTGAGCCCTGGCCAGTGTGGCTCAGTTGGTTGAGCATCTTCCTGTGTATATAGGAGACAACCAGTCAGATGTTTCTCTCTCATGTCAATGTTTCTCTCTCTCTCCTTCTCCCTTCCTCTCTAAAAAAAAATAAAATCAGCCCTGGCCGGTTTGGCTCAGCGGTTGGAGTGTCGGCCTGCAGTACAGAGAGACCCGGGTTTGGTTCCCGCTAAGGGCATGTATCTCGGTTGCAGTTTGTCCTCGGCCCTGATTGGTCGTGCGGGTGGCAGCCACTCGATGTGTCCCTTCACATCGATGTTTCTCTCTCTCTCTTCCTCTCTCTCCCTCCTGCTCTATCTGAACAAAAAATGGAAAAATGTCCTCGGGTGAGGATTAAAAAATAAAATAAAATAAAAATAAAAAATAAAATCAATAAAACATTTAAAATTATTTAATTAATTTAAAATTTTTTAAGCTACTTGATCTATAACCTGTGGTTTGGGTGGGGGGGGGAGGTTGTTTGTTTTGTTTTTTAAATCCTCACCTGAGGATATTTTCACATTGATGTTTTTTAGATAGAGTGGGAGGGAGGGAGGGAGGGAGAGAAAGAGAAACATCGAGGTGAAAGACACATCAATTGGTTTCCTCCCACACGATCCCAACTGGGGCCTGGGATTGAACCCGCAACCAAGGTATGTGCCCTTGATCAGGAATCAAACCCAAGACTCTTTGGTCCTCAGACCAATGTTGTAACCCCACTGAGCCACATCAGCCGGGCAGCCCGTGGTAATTTTTTTTCTTTATTGATTTTAGAGAGAGAGGAAGGTAGAGGAAGAGAGAGATATAAACATTGATGAGAGAGAACATCGATTGGCCACATCCTGCATGCCCCCCACTGGGGATTTGGCCCACAACCTGGGCACGTGCCCTGACCTGGAATTGAACTGGCGACCTCTTGGTGCATGGGTTGACGCTCAGTCAGTGAGCCACACCGGCTGGGCAGCCCGTGGTTATTTTTAAATGGAGATGTTTGTTGGTACAATTTTAATGGAGAGCTTTAATTTGTAGTATATTTAAGGATGAAGATTTCCTGTTCAGAAATCATGTTTAGAATATGATTTTCTGTTTACTAATCCAGAGGAAAGAATGTTTTGGAATCTGATGCCTTTTACCACCAGAGACTTCTCCATCCGATCCCTGGCCGACCGCCTGGGGGACCTGGATTACCTTATCTACGTGTTCCCTGACCGGCCGAAAGATGATGTATACTCCAAATATTACACACCAGTTCCTTGCGAGCCTGCCACTGGTAACAATGTTCGCATTCTGATTTGGTTTCGTTGGGTTTTGGTTATGTTTTCGTTATTTGTGTGTGTGTGTGTCTGTCTGTCTGTCTTGCATGAAAATCTACACAGTTAGCCTACAGTTACTGCTGTTAGAGCATTATCCAGGGCAGATGTGAATCCTGGGCTGTATTCTTCAGTCATACAGAAAACACATCTGCCACTAACCCCAAATATCAAATCAAAGAGAACAGATTGCTTTTAACACAAGCTTAGATCAAACAAAATTAGGAAGATAAAATTTTTGTTTTTCAAATCTGAGATGGGTTTGTTTTCTGAGCATAAAAGTTTTATGTATTTATTGTAAAATTTTCAGAAAAGTATAGAAAAGAAAATAGGTATCACCCAACATCTCTCATTTAGAGATTAACTACTGTAAATTATTTAGTGAATATTTTTCCAATCTATGTAGATATGTGTTCTTCAGTCACCAGATGCTTATGAAGTACTTCCTGTGTGGAGGTTAAAATCTAATAGCAGAAGAAAGACAGTAGCCCTGGCCAGTGTGACTCAGTTGGTTGAACATCGTCCTATGCACCAGAAGGTCGCTGGTTCGATTCCCAGTCAGGGCGCATGCTCAGGGTTGCAGGCTCTATCCCAGTATGGAGCGTGCAAGAGGCAGCTGGTCGATGTTTCTCTTTCACATTGATGTTTCTCCCTCTCCCTCCCTCTCCCTCCCTCTCCCTCCCTCTCCCTCCCTCTCCCTGCTCCCCACTTCCTCCCCCTTCCTCTTTCTGAAATCAATAACAACATTTTTTTTTTTTAATCCTCACCCGAGGACGTTTTTCCATTTTTTGTACAGATAGAGTGGGAGGGAGAGAGAGGAAGAGATAGAGAGAGAGAAACATCGATGTGAAAGGGACACATCGAGTGGCTGCCACCTGCACGACCAACCAGGGCCGGGGACAAACCGCAACCGAAGTACGTGCCCTTAGCGGGAACCGAACCCGGGTCTCTCCGGACCGCAGGCTGACGCTCTAACTGCTGAGCCAAACCGGCCAGGGCTAACAACATTTTTTTAAAAAGGAAGACAGCCACCCTGGCTGGTTTGGCTCAGCTGTAGAGCATCAGCCTGTGGACCAATGAATCTCAGATTCGATTCCGGTCAAGGGCACATAACTCAGTTGCGGGTTCAGTCCCTGGCCCTGGTTGGGGTGGTGCAGGAGGCAACCAATTGATGTGTCTCTCACATTAATGTTTCTTTCCCTCCCTCCCTCCCACTCTATCTGAAAATCAATGGAAAAATATGCTCAGGCAAGGATTAAAAAAGAAAAAAAAAGGAAGACAATAAACAAATAAAGAAATAAGTATATTTATATAATGGTGGATGCTGTGGAGACAAATAAGGAAGGTTAAAGGCATAGAGAAGTGACAGGGGGAGGCTGGGGTTAGAATCTCTCTACTACTCTGCCCTCATCTCCAGCCATTTTTCCCTGCTCATCTAACTCTGACCATCCCGGCCCCCGGCCCTCTTGGGGGTTTTCAAACACGCCACCCACATTTCCGTCTCAGTGTTTCTAGAGTGATCAGGGAAGGTTTCCCTGCGGAGGTGACCTCAGAGTAGACCTGAAGGAAGTGAGGGAGCCCTCGCTAAGACCCAGGGCGAGAGCACCAGGCTGAGAGCACAAGTGCCGACGCCCTGATGGAAGTGAGGGTGCCCTGTTGGAACATCCTCGTGGGGCCCCAGAGGCAGAGCTGGGTGAGCAATGAAGAAAGTGCTAGAAGGTGAGGGCAGAGCAGTCTGAGGGGTCACATCGTGTAAGATCATGCCATCCATCAGCTGTTGTGATCTGATTTTCTTTCTTTTTTTTTTTTTTATCCTCACCCGAGGATATTTTTCCATTTTTTGTACAGATAGAGTGGGAGGGAGAGAGAGGAAGAGAGAGAGAGGGAAACATCGATGTGAAAGGGACACATCGAGTGGCTGCCACCCACACGACCAACCAGGGCCAGGGACAAACTGCAACCGAGGTACGTGCCCTTAGCGGGAACCGAACCCGGGTCTCTCCGGACCGCAGGTGGACACTCTAACCGCTGAGCCAAACCAGCCAGGGCTGATTTTCTTTTTTTTTAACTTAAAAATACATTATAGCCCTGGCCGGTTTGGCTGAGTGGTTAGAGCGTTGGCTTGTGGAGCAGAGTCCAGGTTCGGTTCCCATTCAGGGCACGTACCTCGGTTGCAGTTTGCCCCCGGCCCTGATTGGGGTCATGTGGGTGGCGACCAGTCGATGTGTCTCTTTCACATCGATGTTTCTCTCTCTCTCTTCCCCCGTCTCTCCCTCCCGCTCTGTCTGAGGATGCAAAAATGTCCTCAGATGAGGATAAAAATATATATATATATTATAGGCAGAGTTACAGGTCTGTCAATATAATCTTACATCATTTTAATGATTGTGTAGAATTTCATTGTATGGTAATTCCACATGACATAGTCCATGTTGCTTATTTAAGGTACTTACAATTTGAGTTATTCACAGTTATTTGTTATGATTACTGTTGAAATGACCTGGTATATGCATCTTGTACAATGATCTCCGGGAATAAATTTCTAAAGTAGAATTTGTGTCAAGGGGTATATACTTTTAAGCATTTAGACCCATCTTGGCAGAATTGCCCTCCAGAAAGAGGGATTTGTTTTCACCCCCACAGATGTCTGTTGGAGTCTCTGCTTCCTCATCCTCCTGCCAATCATAGATTCTGTTCATCGGTTTCGTGTCTGACTATGATTGGCATAAAAAATCGTATCTCGGTTTTTATTTTCATCTCTTTGATTCTAGGTATGGTGAAAACACCTTTTCATATAATTATAATGATAATAATAATAAATGGAATACTAGTAGCAGCTAACATTTGTTGAATGCTCACTGAGTGTCAGGCCCTTTTCTGAGCATATTTTTATGTCGTATTTCATTTAATCCTCAAAACAGGTCTGTGACGTAGATACTATTACTGTCCCCCTTTTGCATTTGAGGAACTGAGGCACAGAGAAGTAAATAATTTGCCAAAGGTCACACAGCTAGGAACAGGCTCAGGGAGTCCAGCACCAGAACTTATATTTCTTAACCTCTACATTATTGGTCATTTGTATTTTTTCCCATGAAGTGCATTCATGTTCCTTGCTTATATTTCTTTTGGAGTTACTTTTTTCTTAATGATGTATAAATACATTTCTGTAGTAAATAAACCCTTGACTATATATAGCACTTACTTTTCTCAGTGTGTCATTGTTGTTTTAATATGTAAGTTTTATTTTGCTGAAGTTTTATTTTACAAAGATTTGTAACTGGGCTATCTATAGCCCAGTCTGTCAACCTTTTTCGTATATATTATGCTTTCCCATCCTAATGTGAAGGTTATACTTCTAAAAGCCAAAGTATTTTTAGGTTTATATGATATTTTTGATTAAATATATCACTGCTTCTTTTTATTAGCACAGCTAATCTAGATTAATTTTAACATTTTTTCTTTATTGATTTTAGAGAGAGAGGAAGGGAGAGGGAGAGAGAGATAGAAACACTGATGAGAGAGAACATCAATTAGCCACCTCTTGCATGTCCCGCACTGGGGATCAGGCCCACAACCTGGGCATGTTCTCTGACCAGGAATCGAACCGGAGACCTCTTGGTGCATGGGTCGATGCTCAACCACTGAGCCACACTGGCCCGGTGCTAATCTAGATTATTAACTCCTATTTTTTACAGCATTTCTTTGGTGTTCATCTTTTCTGCCAAGCTATAAAATTCTCTGTACTAGACTGTAAAGCACAAAAAGAAAACAGGAGATATTATGAAAAGGTAGCCCCAGACATTTGAAGCCTGGAAGAAACAGGTTAGGATACCAAGCAATTTGTGACCCATGTGGCATTTCACTGTCTTGGGCTGCTGCATCCTGTTGACCATAATGTAATCTCCATTGTCTAATATAGTCAGGATTGTACTTATTCCCACATTCACATTCCCAGGAAATAAGACTTCATTGACTTCAGACCATCACATTCCTACTTAACTGGATTTCCATAATCAGCCTTTTATTTTATTTATTTTTTTACTTTTTTAAATCCTCACCCGAAGGTATTTTTCCATTTATCTTCAGATAGTGTGGGAGGGAAGAAGAGAGAAAGAGAGAAACATCAATGTGAGAGAGACACATCGACTGGTTGCCTCCCGCACAACCCAGACCAGGGCCAGGGACCGAGCCGCAACTGAAGTTACATGCCCCTGACCGGAATTGAACCCGAAACTCTTTGGTCCTCGGGCTGACACTCCAGCTACTGAGCCAAACCGGCCAGGGCATATAATCAACCTTTTAAAAAGGTGTAACTGTGGCTGCCCAGATCACTGTGAGGTTTATCCCCTAGCTTGCCACATCCTAGTGGATTCGTGAGCGGAAGAGACCGACATTCTTCTAACCAGCCCCAAGGCCTAGACTACGCTCGCTGGAATGAGTGACCACCAGATCACCCCCAAATGCAGAAACCCCAGGGGCAAGAAACAGCTTGCAGACACCTGAGTGACATTCCCTTTCCCAAAAGAGCAGATACTCAGAGTAGGTTCCGAGATCATTAAGTCACATTAATTCCTCTCTAACGCTTCGAGTGCTCTGTGCAATCCGACAGCTGTGCACGCCTTCCACTTGAACTCCTCCAGTGATAAGGAAACCGGTTCTTCCCAAGACAGCCCATTTCGCGTTGGTGGTATAGTGGTGAGCATAGCTGCCTTCCAAGACAGCCCATTTCTTTTTGGGGCAGTTCTAATTATGACAGCATTCTTCCTTATGTGACTGAAAATTTGTCGTCTTCTGACCTCCTCCTGTAGCTCCTAGGACCCAGAGCAAGTCCTGTCCCTCTGCTGCATCTGCGACTTTAAATTTTTTAAGATATTTTTTCTTTTCACAGTTAGTATGCAATTAATCCTTGACTTCTGTTTGTATTAAAATATATTTTTTCTGTGGTTTGAAGAATGTATAAGCACTTCTAAGCCAACGCGGAATGTCTCTTCACTTGCAGCTTTAGTATGGAGACTTCTCTGTGCCAGGTTGTCCTAACAGATTGAAATGTTAAGTACTTGTATCAGATCCTAAGATAAAATTAGGTGGCGGTGTCCTATCCTAAGAAAAGTTGTGATCCATAAGGGAAATTTCATTTTTATTCCATCTGAGAGCTTTGGTTCTCATCACCATTCCCCCCCCTTGGCAGCTAAAGCAGTGGATGGTTACGTGAAGCCACAGATCAAGCAAGTGGTCCCTGAGTAAGTGTCCGGGGTCCAGTTCTGGTCTCCTGCCACCTCTATTCTCCCCTGGCTGTCCTCCCCCCTCACCACCCCCACCTCCCATTAACGTGCCCAGAGTTCCCTTCCCCCGGCAACCTGGTTCGACCCTGGGGAGGGAACTGGGCTTGGTCACCATGGGACTACTACCCAGGGCCCCACTCCTGCAGCGGGAGCCCCAGGCCCAGTGGGCAGATTGTCCTTCTACACCTGAAAAAGACATAAAGATGACCCCTGAGCCTGTGCCCCTCATCTGCTGCCCTGAGGCCGCTGAGGCCCTGTTCTTCCTCCTCCTACAGGTTTGTGACATCTGCAGACTCTGCTGGGGGCAGCGCCACCTACATGGACCAGGCCCCCTCCCCCGCCGTGTGCCCCCCGGCTCACTATAACATGTACCCACAGAAGTAGGTTGTGTTCTCACAGGGCTTCGTGGGGGAACTGGGCACCTGGCCTTGGGCAGGACCCCTAGAAGGCTGGTGGGCCAGGAATCCAGAGCTCCTCCAGATCTGAGACCCCCAGCCCAGGCCAGGCTCTGGCATGTGCTCAGTTGGGGGGGAGAGATTTCACTAGAAGATGTTGGTAGTTTGGAGTGGGATTGGGCAAAAGTCATCTGCTCCCAAATGGATATTTTTCTTGCTCTGTATAAGACCGGATGGGGTTTAGATGTGTCTGGACAGCCAGTGTTAGGGGCAGCTGGGGTGGGGGTGGGGGTATTTCATTTTAATTCTTTTAATTTTTAAATTTTTTTCAATTCCAGTTTACATCCAGTATTATTTGGTATTAGTTTCAGGTGTACAGCATAGTGGTTGGGTGGGTATTTTATTCTGAATTTCTCTGTCCAGCTACGAAGGACTTTTATTCCCAAGTATTGAGATCAGATGTGGTTCTTTCCCCATGAAGCCTAGGCTGAGGGTACAGGCCATCTTGGGCTGCTCACCTGGCGGGGTGCGGGGTGCGGAGTGGTCTCTGCTCCTCGTCATTGGCCACTGACAACCGTTCCCTTCCCCTTCATCCCTTCTCTTTTCCTCCCAAGCCCTGACTCTGTCCTTGACACGGATGGGGACTTCGATCTGGACGACACAATGGACGTGGCGCGCCGTGTGGAGGAGCTCTTAGGCCGGCCTATGGACACTCAGTGGATCCCTCATGCGCAGTCGTGACCTCGCCTGTTCATCTTCAGCTTCTTTGTCCTCGTCAGAGGAGTTACTCTTGTGGATGTTTTAATTCCATGAATCGCTTCTCTTTGGAAACAATACTCATAATGTGAAGTGTTAATACTAGTTGTGACTTTAGTGTTTCTGTGCATGGTGGCACCAGTGAAGGGAGTGCGTGTGCGTGTGTGTGTGCGTGTTTGTGCGTTGTGGTGCTTCTCTCCCTTGCTGTCCAGAGTTCAGCTGCAGCATCGGGGCAACACGGGCTGTGGTGGTTTTAACCTTGTGAAAGGGCAGTTCCATGAACCCTGGAACTTGGCCGTGTGTCTTGAGGGTGCCTGAACTTTGACATGTGGCTTTTCAAGTAAGAGAAGGACAAAGGGAGGAGAAAGCACCTCTCTGGTGAGTCTTTGTCACTGTGTCTGCCAAGCAATTGTTATATAACCATGATTGTTGCCGCTTTTCTTCTGAAATGTGGAAACCGCCTTTTGACAAAGAAAGCTAGTCCTCCCTCCCCTTCCCCCTGCCCCTTTCTGGGTAGGGGTGGGAAAAGGGGCAGCATAAGGAAGATTGTTGGGACAAGGGGAGTCAGGGGTCTTCAGATGGGTAGTGGCTTTTTAAATAACACTTAACCCATCTTAATGTTCTCTCTGTCCCTCCTTCCCTCCCTGTCTCCCTCCCTCCTCCTCTCACTCGGTTCCTCTGTGTGTACACATGTGCAGACGAACTAGAGGAAAGAAGAGAGGGTCATGTAACCGAAGCTTACAGTGTTGTCGTCCTTTGTGTTGCGGCCAGAGTGGAACGCCCAGCCCTGCCTCAGGCGCCGTCAATGCCTTGTCGCCCAGGGAAGCTGCCATCCAATCTGCCCATCCTTCCTCCGAGCTGGAAGGCTTATTGATAACAGCTTTTGCAAACGTTGACTGCCATTCTTGTTTCTAAATTGGAACTTCTTGTTTTCCCCTCCCCACCCTAATTTGACATCAAAATTCTTTTTTCCTGTATCTGGTCCTGTGCCACTCATACCCAGGTCACATCATTTCCCTTCACTGTTCACACACGATGTCTCGGGGAGTGGGTAGCAGGAATGTGGTCTGAACCCAGGGCCAGCACGTTCAGCAGGTATTGCCCACCTGGTTCAGGGTGCTGGGTGTCAGGCGTTGGTAATTTGGGGAAATGCAGTCAGCGGGTTTGCTGAAAGTTTGGTAAGCTGCGAAAGCAAAACAAAAAGCCTCAGCATAGTTTTGTCCATAGTGGCTTTCGTGGCCTTGCACCAGAAGGAAGGGCTGGGCTGTGGCAGGCAGGTGGGAACAGGGGAGCAGGCATAGCGTTCGGGCTGGGCCTGCAAGGTCACCCCCAGCTCCCCTCTCCCAAAGGACATGACCACACCCAGGAGAGAATGGCCCTAAAAACCTTATTTTTATACATGTGAGTAAATAAACATATTTTTTTTACAAAAATAACTTCTGAACTTATCAGTGTTTTGATGTTAAAGGAAAATATTTCTCTGTAGTAAATTATTTATTGGAAGATGACTTTTTAAAAGCTGCTGTTTGCCCTGGCTTGGTCTCATACACTGATTTATTTTTCTATGCCAGGCGGTAGAATCTCTCTGCCTGAGGAGCAGGCTGACCCCTCCATGGATACCAGCACTGGTGTCGGATGCTGCTAAACCCCTTACGTATCCCTCAAGATTAGACGAAAATCCACCTGTGAGGATGGGCGTGTGGGGGATGGGCGAAGCGGAGGCCTGCCAGCTCTCAGACAGTCTTACAGAGCCCTTGCCTGTCCCTCAGGGGGCACCAACATCTGCCTCCGAGTGAGTGCTGAGTGCCGCCCCATTGTCCCAGCAGGGGCAGATTGGTGGCGGGCCCAGCCCCAGGACATGCTGAGGTAGAGCTCTCACTTTTCAGTTGGCAGTGGGGTTGGGGGCACGGGTGCCAAGTGTGGGGCCCCCGTTTGCACAGTTGCTGAACTGTCCTCAGTTTTCCTGAGGCTACCTCTGCCGAGGGGAGAGACTCTCGACTGAAAGGTGCGCTCGCTATCTGCATTATACTTTCTCTCTTCTCTCCGTCCCGCAACCTGAAGAGGCGGTGGGAAGCCCTGACCTCCTTTGTCTCACAGGCTCCCAGACACCGACGTGGTCAGAGTCCCAACTCCATGTGTGCTGCGCGCAGGGCTTTGTAGGGTGGGGGTGGGGGACAAAGTGAATATAACTTAAAATGGAAGTATACTTTTTATAACTTTTCTTTTTAAAACTTTGTGAAATTATTTCAGATACATATTTTAGTGTTGAGGCAGATTAGTATATAGCCACCAAAAAAGTATTGTGTACAATTTTACTTGGGGAAATCACAAAATAGTGTATTTTATGTTACAATAAAGGCTTCCCCTGAAGGGACTATTGCGTCCTGTTTTAATTTTTTTCCATCAGGTGTCGAGGGAGGAGGGTGGTCAAGAGGCAGACGTTCGGAACCCTCAGTGTGACTGAGAGGAGGAACCAGCCCTGACCAGTTTGGCCCACAGACCAAAGGGCACACACCTGGGTTGCAGATCTGACGCTCAGCCCTGAGTCACGTGGAAGGCAGCCAATTGATGCGTCTCTCTCACATTTCTCCCTCTCCCTCTCCCTCCCTCTCCCTCTCCCTCCCTTTCCCTCTCCCTCTCCCTCTCCCTCTCCCTCCCTCTCCCTCTCCCTCCCTCTCCCTCTCCCTCCCTCTCTTCCTTCCACTCTATCTAAAAATCAATGGAAAAATATCCTCAGGTGAGGATTTAAAAAAAAATGAAAGGAGGAACTAGATGAGAGTTGGCTTCTCAGAGAGTGGCCAGCTTTGATGGCAGATGAGGGCATTTCTTACCTTCCTGCTCATAAGACATTTTAAATATTAGAATGGCCCTGGCTAGGTTAGCTCAGCAGTTAGAGCATCAGCACTTGGATGGAAGGCTTGTGGGTTCAATTCCTGGTCAAGGGCATGTACCTGGGTTGCAGGTTCAATCCCCAGCCCTGGTTGGGGTCGTGCAGGAGGCAACTAATCGATATGTCTCAAATCAATCTCTCTCTCACTCGCTCGCTCTCTCTGCCTCCCCTTCACTCTATCTAGAAAAATCAATGGAAAAATTGGTCTTTGGGTGAGGATTAACAACAAAAATTAGAACGATAGTCTTTATCTCCTAGCCTCCACACTCCACAAGCTTCCTGTTAGGAAACTCATCTTTAAAATTCGGCACATTTAGCCCTGGCCAGTTTTGCTCAGTGGTTAGAGCATGGGCCTGTGGTCCTGAGAGACCCAGGTTCGATTCCTGCTAAGGTCATGTGCCTCGGTTGCAATTTGTCCCTGGTCCTGGTTGGTCGTGCGGGTGGCAGCCACTCGATGTGTCCCTTTCACGTCGATGTTTCTCTCTCCTCCCCTCTCTCCCCCTCCCACTCTAGCTGAAAAAATAAAATAAAAATAATAGTAAAATTCGGCACATTTAGAGTGCCTGCCCTGAGCTAGGCATTGTATATGGAATGAGAAATTGTTCCTGCCCTCCAGAGGACAGCAGTCTGAGAAAGGCAGCTAACACAACCGGTTACGAGAAGATACTGCTTCATGCTGCTATTAACAAAGGTATCCCGAGACCATTACCGAATACAAAAGAACAGAGGGGAAGGGTACAGAACAACTTGAGCTGGCTCATAAGGAACAAGTAGGAGTTAAGAAAGGAAAAGTGGAACCCTGGCTGGTTTGGCTCAGTGGTTGTAGCATCAGCCCACGCACCAATGAGACCCAGGTTCGATTCTGGCCAAAGGCACATACCTCAGTTGCAGTTCATCTCTGGCCCTGGTCAGGGTGTCAGGGCGGAGCGGGAGGCAACCATTCAACATCTCTTTCTCTCTCTCTCATCGATGTTTCTCTCCCCTCCCCTCTTTCCCTCTCTTCTTCCCCCCAATCTGTTTAAAAGATAAAAATGGAAAAATGTCCTTTAATGAAGATTAAAAGGAAAGAAAAAGTCAGTACATCACTCAGAAGTGTACCATAATCCCCAACACCAGGGCCCAGAGCTCAGAAATTTTGCCCCAGAGGGGAGAGGCAGGCTATGGAACAGAGAGCTTTGAATATCTCCCCAAAGAAACTGACCTCATTTGCAAGAGAAATTCAAGCTTAAGGGTGGTCTCAAAAACAGTGGAGGTTGTGGCAAAAGACAACTGACAGGAGAATGACAGCTTCATTGGAAATATAGACTGTGTCTACTGGGCAGGATAGTTTGCTAGAGAGAAATGGGGGGACAACCTGGAGGAGCTCTCTTGGGGTCAGAACAAATCTCAAGAGCTGACCTTGAAACTATTCCTTTAAAGAAGCCTGAATTTGGATGTTTGTGAAGCAATATATTCCCCAGAGCATTATTGGGGGGAAAATAGCATCAGCCAATAATTAGTGTAGTTTAACATCTGGGTGTGGTCAGGGAAAGAGACCTGTGGAAATCGCTGTCCTGCTAAGGTGACTACAGGCATACTCAGGTCTGTGCCCCCCTGAAGAACAATAACAAAGGCTCCATGCTATGAGTGGGTTGGGCTTTGAGGAATAGATAAGCTCACTAAAATAATCCAGTCACTTACTAAAATAATGAAAAGCCCTGGAAAATTTATAAATATATGGAAATAATACACTCCTAAATAACCAATGGGTCGAAGAAGAAATCAAAAGGGAAATTAGAAAATACTTTGAGATGAATGAAAATGAATGCACAACATAAAACTTACGGTATACAGCTAAAGCAGAGCTTAGAGAAAAATTTATAGCTATAAAGACCTATATTTAAAAGGTAAAATTTCAAATCAATAATCCAACCTCCCACCTTAAAAGGACACCAAGGGGAAAAAAAGAGAACAAACTAAATCTAAAGCAAGCAGAAAGAAAGAAAGAATAACTAGAGGAGAAAATAATAAAATAGGAAATGGAAAAACAATAGAGAAAATCAATAAGACCAAAAACTAGTGCTTTAAAAAGATCGACAATATTGACAACCTTTTGCTAGATTGACCAAGAAAAAGAGACTCAGAAACAAAAAAAGGAGACATTACTATAGACCTTACAGAAATAAAAGGATTACTATGAACAGTTGTATACCTCTGTATTAGATAATTTAGATGAAATGGACAAATTCCTAAAAAGACAAACTACTGAAACTGACTAAAAAAGAAAAAGATAACCTGAATAGATTTATAACAAAGTGTTTTTCTTTGTAGCTACTATTAAAAACTACCTACAAAGAAAAGCCTGGGCCCAGATGGCTTTACCACTGAATTCCACCAAACATTTAAAGAATACCAATTTTCGTTTTGGAAAAAAACTTTTTTATTTATTCTTCAACACCAAAGGAGTGTCCTTGACGGTAGAGGACACTCTTATCCTTATGAGTTTAGCATTTTGAGTGAGAAAATTGCACCTTATCACCTGAAAGGAATGTTTTTAGATAGATAAGTAGGCCCATTAAGTTGTTTGGTGCTTTGGAATACATTCAGCTCTGAATAAGCATGTGCCACTTGGCTACAAGCCGCCTGTGCTCCTGAAGGCTCTATATTTCAAGCTCCCATCCCCTCTCAGGTGTAGAGATCCATCCTCTGAGTGCTGCCCAAGACAGCTCTGTCAGTAAGTTCTCTTAATAAACTCTGTGTTTAATTCTTTTTTTTTTTTTTTTAATCCTCACCCGAGGACATTTTTCCATTTTTTGTTCAGATAGAGCGGGAGGGTGAGAGAGGGAGAAAGAGAGAGAGAAACATCGACGTGAAGGGACACATCGAGTGGCTGCCACCCGCACGACCAACCAGGGCCGGGGACAAACTGCAACCGAGGCACGTGCCCTTAGCGGGAACCGAACCCGGGTCTCTGTACCGCAGGCCGGCGCTCCAACCGCTGAGCCAAACCGGCCAGGGCATGTGTTTAATTCTTTGTCAGCCTATTTCTTCAGCCTCTTGGCCCTGTCTTCCTTTGGAGGTCAGCTTCAGTACACCGCAGGAAACTTCCCAACACAAAGGACACTACAAAGAAAATGAAAAGACAACCCACAGAATGGGAGGAAATATTTGCACATCGTAGGGGACTTGTATGTAAAGTATATATAGAACTCTTACAACATAAATAATAAAAAGGCAACCCAAGTAAAAATGGGTAAAGGATCTGAAAAGACATTTCTCCTAAGAATATATACAAATGGCTACTAAACACATAAAAAGATGCTCAACATCATTAGTCATCAGGAAAATTAAAATAGACTCAAGTCATTTCACACCCCACTGGGATGGCTAAATCAAAAGGTCAGATAATAATAACAAATGTTATCAGGGATGTAGAGAAATCGGAACCCTCATATACTGCTGGTGGGGATGTAAAATGATGCAGCTACTTTGGAAGCCAGTTTAGCCGTTCCTGAAACAGTTAAAAAAATGAGTTACTATACAACCCAGTTATTACACACCTGTGTCGCTACACAAGAAAAAGTAAAATATATGTCCACAGAAAAACATGTACATAAATGTTCATAACAGTATTATACATAATAGCCAAAGAATGGAAAGGAACCAAATGTCCACCTATTGATGAATGTGTAAACAAAGGTGGTGGTGTTTACACTTCACATTTGGGTGGTGTTACCTCCAATGGAATATTATTTGGCAATAAAAAGGAATGAACTACTGATACACAGCACCACACAGAAGAACCCTGAAAACATTATGCTAAGTAAAAGAAGCCAGACGCAAAAGACCGTGTGTTATATGATTCCTTTTATATGAAATGTCTAGAATAGGCAGATCTATAGAGACAGAAAGTAGATTTGTGGTTGCTTAGGGTGGTGGTGGAGGAAACTGGGAAGGGATTGGGGTTATAACTAAAGGGTACAGGGTTACTTTTGGGGTGATGAAAATGTTACAAAATTGACCATTAGTGTCACATGTATCTGTGAATATACTAGAACCCATTGAATGATCCACTTTAAATGGGTGATTTGTGTGAATTATAGTTAATCAAGCTGTTCTTTTTAAAGCAAGTGCAAGATCTCAGCAAGAAATAAAGAAGCGAGAGCGAGGTGGGTAGAGTGTGAGAGCACGCCTGTGCAAAGGAGCTCCGCTGTGAAAAGGAGGGAGCAGAGAGAGATGCTGCAAGCCATAGAGGCAAGTGAGGGGGTGCGGGAGGGGTGTCTGAAAGCCTGGATCAAGAGTACAGGCAGACGCCCTGGCTGGTTTGGCTCAGCGGTTAGAGCGTCAGCCCGCGGACCGGAGAGTCCTGGGTTCGGTTCCCGCTAAGGGCACGTACCTCAGTTGCAGTTTGTCCCCGGCCCCGGTTGGGGCCGTGTGGGTGGCAGCCAGTCGAT